CTACCATGAGGCAGAGCTGGACCCTTTGCCTCCTTGCTCAGAATATTAAAAGTGAAGGTGACTCTAAAAAAGAATGTCTCTTCAAATCTCACCCCTCCCCCTCCTTTGCTAATGCAGTTCCTAGAAAAGAATAGAATTTAACATAATTTCCAGAACCTCGGATTGTGTAGCCTTTAGTGTTTCCACTAGGGAGAAGGATGCAGGGCTGTGGTGAGAACTCCTGTGTGTGTAGACTCCGTTGCTGAAACCCCGCAGTCCCTGTCCCTGCTGGTCGGTCTCAGTTACGAAGGCCTGCATGTCACGCAGTGGCTGGGGCTCGTTGAGTCCAGTGCGGTCGCTTTTTTTAAGATTCAGAGGAGGCAGAACAGACACACAAAATCACCAGCGATAAGTGGGTTTGGGCGTGGGGGTTGGTACGGGTGGGGGGCCATGAGCAGGAAGTTAGTTGGGCACCAAGGGAAGTGAGGTTTATGTTATTTAACTTTGTCTAATCTTCGTAAGCTGTGAAATCTGTGACCTCTCTGCACAGAAGCTGGGTTGTGGTATAAACCCCTTATCGGAGGCAATTGTAGGGGGTGAAGGTGTTTCCTGAGACCCAGCTGGCACTCAGGCGACTCAGGAGTGCGGGGTGCCTGCCGAGGTGTGTGCGGCACGTGAGGAAGTGTTCCCCACCTGCTTGGCCCAGTGACTGGCATGAGTGCGGGGAGGGGGGGCTCGCAGGCTTTGAAGAAGACCCTCACCTGCCTCCTCATGACAGCAGGTGCCAGCCTGGGCTCTGGGTCCAACTGTGCAGGTGACAGCCTCCCTGACATGGCTCTGGGCCCAGGTGTTGTCCTGGTTCATGCTGCCAGGTGCCAGCTCATGTCAGCTGGGCTTCACGGGCCTCTGTGAAGTTGACTTCCAACTAGTTCAGAATTGCTTCTGTGTCCCTCCCCGTGGCCGCCAGCACTGAGAGCCAGGCCGGGCGGCCAAACTCACCCTGCAGTTGGAGTAATGACCTCCAGGATCTGCCCCCTGGTCTCTGGAGGGGCCACACCTCTGACCTGGCAAAGGAGGGCGACCTGCGCCACATCCTGGACCTCCGCCCACTCCAGGAAGGGCACCAGGTCAGCAGGCTCAGGCCCAGGACAGGGGGCAGCGCCTCCCTGTGCACCCGAGTGGCATTCTGCTCCAGGAGGGAAGCCGTCAGGTAATGGGGGTGGATCTGAGGACTAGCAAGCGTCTTGTAGGCAACACCTGTGGCTTGATGCCCCTTCTCCAAGGAAAGGGAGTGAGTGAACCAGGAGAACATTCTTGCTGAGGTCTGGATTCCTCCCCTTTGAGAGCGAGGCCTTGGGAGGTCTCTCAAATCTGTATACTTGCAAATCAAGGAGTGGTTTTCCTTTTGTTAGCCAATTTATGGGGTGCCAGTCACACTCCAGGGAAGGCCTGGCAGAAGGAACGGGACTGTGAAGGGACACCTGTGGGGGAAAGGGGCACCTGTTTGGAGGGGGTGAAGGCACCTGAGTCCAGGCATTGACAGCTGCTCACTCCACATGGCTTCCTGCTGCTTTCCTGCTGGACAGGGCTCTGCTCCTGGGGCTCCTGGGGCTGAGGCAGGGTCCAGGGGTGTCACCTTAGGGGGAGGAGTGCGTGGGCGCAGCGGGCTCTCTGAGGACGTTAGTGACTCTCCTTCCTTCCAGGTGATAGATGCCTACAGGGGTGTGTGCACCTGGATCGCTGGCTGAGTAGTGGTATGGACTTGATTTTCTTTCCCCAGATCTGCACCTGCCCACGGAAGAATGAGGGTTGCAGGTGGAGGTGGGAAGGAGGCGTGGAGGTCACAGGCTGAGGGTCTGGGTGCTTGGCTTCATCAGGAGAAACATAGTGTGTGGCCCCTGCATCTGTGCCCGGGGGGACTGGGTGGGAAGGGCCTGGACAGCGGGGAGGAGCGTGCTCTGGGGAGAGAGGCCAGGCTTTGAGTGGGGCTGTGGGCAGATCACCAACCTTTCTGCACCCATTTCCTCCTCTGCAGGCTGGGAGTGGCTGCTGGCAGGGCTGCCAGGACTCGAAGTGATTCACGAAAGGTGCACAGTGACCTGTTCAACAAAGGGCAGTTCCTTGTGACCTCTGGAGTGGGACCGGGTAGGGTGCCAGGGCTTTCGCTGTGGTGTATTACTGTTTACTGTTCTGGGGACCCCAAAGAGGAAAAACAATAAAGTCATAGAAAATCCAAGCGTGAGGGACTTTGTTTTTGTGAAAATCACCGCAAGGAGAAAGGTAGCATGTTATTAAAATGTACCATACAATCCGTGTATTACTGGTTCTGTTCTGGTTTTATCTGGCTACAGCACTAAACTCTTTTTGGCTTAGTAGCATTATCAGCTTTCACTTGTGAGAAAGTTTGGTGAGGTTACTCTTGGTTCCTAAGACCATTCTAGTTACTTCGTCGAAGATCCAGAATCACCGTTCCTGTTCGTGTGGCCTGAGACAGAATCCATTGGATTTTTTTGGTGAAAGGATTCATTTTACGTTGATCTTTTTCTTGCATCACTCTGTACAGACCTGTCTGTGGTGTTAGCGTCATGTGCATCCGTCTCAGGCCCTTGCAAACACCCCGCAGTGCGGGGAGGCAGTTCCCTCAGTCCCTTTGTCAGGTGAGCAGAGCAGACCAGGAGGGTGACTGTCTCCCCTGTGGCCGAGGAGGACGTGGGTGGTGGGGCAGGAGGGCTAGGTCCCTCGGTTTTCAGGCCCCCCTCACCTCTGCAGCAGCATTGCCCCGAAGGGGGCACCCTGGGAGTGGGAGGGGCCCGGGGCCGGTCCAGGGCAGGTGTGGGCCTGCAGTTCCCAGCCAGCTGGGGCGGCAGGGGCCGCTCACGCGGACTTGTTTCCACCACAAAATACAGACCCCTTTCTAAATGCCCCTTGGGAGGGGAGGGTGTGAGAAGCCCAGCCGGCCTGGCTGCTCACAGGAGAGCTGGACCCATTCCCACTTCAAACAGGATAAGAAAGAGGCACCAAGATGGTGACAAGATGCTGCTCAGTATTCTGAGGAAATGAGGGGGAAGCAGCATTAGAACTAAAAAGGTTCAGAGAGAGTGTGTGTGTGTGTGTGTGTGTCTGCGAGTGTGCAAGCATTTCTGAAGCTGGCCTGCAGGGAGGGAGGGAGGGAGGGAGGGGCCTGTGTGGAGAAGAAAGTGTGTCCGAGTCTGAGCACAGGGCAGAGCTGAGTGTTTAGATGTCTTTTTCTTTCTCTCCATGATTTATGGTCATAATTACTATTAGTAGGTGGCTGATGTTTAAAATGAAATATGGCCTGTCCTAATTTTAGAGCAAACAACAATGCAGATTAGCAGCAATTAGCATGTTGCGGGTGCAGGGAAATGCACACACCTGCAGCCGTGGTGATAAATGAATGGAAACGCCGCTGGTGGGGGTCTGGTGGGGGTCTTTCGGACCCAGCCTTTCGCCAGTTCCCTAGAATGGGCTGGATCTGGCTACTGATAACAGTTAATTGAGATGCAAATCTCATCCCTATAGGGATTGTCACCCTAATCGAAGGCTTTCCTGCTGCCTTTTCTTGCAGCCTGTCACCTACCATTTCCCCGTGACAAACAGAACTCTAAATGGGGCTGCCCTGTCTCTGCGTCTGACCGAAAACCCACTAATGCTGGGGTAATCGTGGGCGCCGGGAGGGCGCATCTGGGAACTGGGAGAGGCAGCTGGAGCCCCGAGCTCCTTGAGGGAGGCCTGTGGGGGTTCACTCTGGTCATCTGTGATGCACACCCTGGGGTGGCCCGCACAAAGTCGTTGAGGTCAGCTGACTTGGCCCTGACGCTCCTGCCCCCAGTGGCTGAGACCAGGCAAAAGAGTGACTCTCAGGGTGACTGCTTTATGGGGAACCAGATTGGAGTCAACCACCCGACCTCTCCGCTGTGCTTTCCTTTCCAGCTGTTTGCCCTTTTCTCCATACCCAGTTGGGCTCAGGGCTCGGGTACTCCAGTGAGAAGTGACTGTGTAGAGGGAGGAGGGGCCGAGCTGGGAAATGGGGAGCTGAGTGCTCAGCTGGGTGCACAGGTAAAGGAGGCGAGGGCGTGTTGAAAGGAGACTGAAAGAGGAAAGGCTGTTTTCCGTGCAATGATGTTGTTTCAGGAAAATGGAACCTTTGCTTCGAGGTGCAGGGAGCTTCCACAGGCCTTCTGAGTTGAGTCTTACTGGGTGAAGGGAGTTTGTCAGCTGGAGAAACAGGAATGAAGACATTGTGCTTTGGCAGGAGAATGTTCTTGGTGTTGCCAGAAGGCACGGTGTGCTCAGCAAACATCAGGCCCTCCTGGGTGTGGGTGTGAACATGGTGTCCAGGCCCTGGGGCGGCCCCCCCTCTGAGTGTGCACAGCCCTCCCCTGGTTTTCACCCTCATCTTCCTGGCTGGCCCTCCTGAGGATGGATTTGCTCCGTTCTTTCTGTGCATTGAAGATGCGCTAGAACTCAGGGCAGAATGGCTGCCTTCTCTGACCGACCCCGGTGCCTCCACGGGGGTCAGTGTTTGCTGCAGCACTCACTTTGCAGTCTGTCTGTCTGTCCTTATGACACAAGGTGACCTCCGTCCGCCTCCCTTTCTGTTTGTGGAACAAAGGTAGGCTGCCATCCACATTGGGCGCGTGCATAGTCACAGAAGGCCTGTGGTGATGCTGACAGAGCCCCATGGGTCTGGCCCCCTGGCAGCTCTGCCAAGGAGGAGTCTGCGGAGATGACCCCCCTCACACCCCAGTAGCTCACCCTGCAGGCAGACGCTGGAGGGACAGGATATGCGTGAGTGTCCTCCTGGTGGAGAAGCCCGTCCTCTCACCGACTCAAGCCAGGGGTGTGTTCTGGCTTCCAAATGTCCCAGCATCATCTCGGAAAAGCCAAGCACAGAGACCTGTTTCTTTGGGACTCAGGAGCTGGCCAGTGTCATGGCCTCTGACTGACGAGATGTCGCCTTTGCAGCTCTGACTCAGTTCTGTTTTCTGTTTTCCTCCCAGGCTGCTTATTGGAAGATGGCCTTTGCAGACTGTCCGAGACCTGTGTCAACGGTGAGTGTGCGGTCCTGGCCGATACTCGGCTGTGGGGCTGGGTTTGCCTCATCCTGCCAACCCAGGCAATGCCCAGGACAGGGCTACTGTGTGGAGTGGAGGCTCAGGGTCACGTTCATTTCATGTGATGCGCCTGCAGAGCCATGGAGTTGAATCGTCTCTGCATGTTATCGAAAGGGGAGGAAGTGGAACATTAGTAGAAGTGAAACATACTCTCTCTTTCTGTGCACAGATGTGTGTTTGCATCTGTGTTGGGGTCTCTAGCCAGTGTTTTAGGGCTACATGTGAGAGCTCATCAGTGACAGGGGGTGGGACCTGGAACACTGATGATGGCTGGACGGGATCCACCCCCATCCTCAGCCCTGAGCACCCAGCCTCCGTCCCTCCCTCCAACCAGCCATGCTCTTTGCGCTGCGTCACACTCCGCTTGTTCGGGCTCTCTGCCAGGAGGCAAGCTTGTCTTCCTGCTGCCCGTTTTCCTCTCTTCATAGGTGAGAAGCAAATGTGTGACGCTTTGTGTTTTCAGGTAGGGCGCAAAGCCCCCAAGTCCGGGTAAGGTACCAGAGTAGGGGGTCCTCCCAGCAGCTGGGCTCTGGATGGGGCAGGTCCACAAGCGTCCCGCCCTGTGAGTCTCAGAAAGGATGGGTGTGCTCAGAAGGGCTGCTTCTCAGAAGAGGAAGAAAACCCCATGTCTTAGGCAATATTGGGTGACATGCATTGGGTAGCAGCCCTTTGGACACGAAGGGGAGGGTCTTGGTTCAGGACACCCACCCAGAAAAGCTGGCCAGGGGGCTTTTCCTAAAGTCCGACTGGGTCTGCACATGGGACCCAGGCAGTTCTGGGAAGCCCAGCATGGACGTGGGCTCTCTTCTCACCCACTGCCCATCTCTGTCCTTTCGGGGGAGAGTGGACTTTGTCACTGCCTGGATCTCACCCATGGCATTTTCAACTTGGGACAAGTGCCCCTCACTCCATCCTGGTTCTCGGCGCAGATGTGGCTGCCTGCGAGGACAGCTGACTTTTGCGGGACTTTTGGTCCCTGGGATCCTTTCACGAAGTCCTGGGAGGCTCTCCCGGAGTGAGGCACCGTTTGAGGGCATGAAAGGCAAAGACCAGGCACCTTCAGAAGCTCACGGTGAGAACAGTCCTGGGTCTGAGGCCTCTGATTTCAGAGCTGTGTCCTGGGGAGAAATTGCTGCTGGTTCTGGATGGTTCCATTTTTTTCTGTTTGGGGGTGACTTCTGTGCAGAGTGTGATCACAGAATGCAGTTTGCAGCCGCCTTGATCCTGCCCGCCTGCCCTGCCCCCCTGACCTGCCCCCCTGCCCACCGCAGACCGCGTTCTCGCACCTGGATGGGCTGCTCGCTCCCACACACTCAGGCTCCTGCGAGTGAACCTTCTGAAGCTTTTATTTGGAGACTTATTTAAATAAATAACTATTTAAAAAATAGTTCATCTGCCCTCAGTGACGTTTCATTATGAAGGTAACAAGTGTGTGTGTGTTTAATTTGACTGCAGACACACGTGGCTTGGCAGGGTAAAAGCTGCCACTCTGTCCCCTCCCCTCTGCCCTGGACAGAAAGCAGGCCTGGGTGTCGTGACCTCTCTGGGGCTTTCCTCCCCGCCCTCCATGCGCCTCCCTGACACAGAATTACACTGACGTTACATAAGGTAATAGCTTTGGCTTCTTTGGCAAAGGAAAGCAATTTAAATGTAAATGTAAATGCACAGGCCTTGATTTATGGAGAGAGGCAGTGTTTGTTTATTCTAGTATGGTTAAGGGCTGGCTGGGTCAGAGTGAAGCAGGCCTCCTCCAATCCCACAAAGTCGTGTGCTGCGCACAGCTGAGGGCAGCGATAAAAGCAGTGCCGCCTGGATTTGCGGTTGCCACGGTGACAGCATGACTCAGCCTGGCGGCAGGAGGGGCGGGCAGGAGGTGTGGCTGGGCCACTGCAAGGAATCCAGAATGTTCTTTGCTCAGACACAGGGTTCCTCTCTTTCTCTGTCTCCCTGTGCTGTCCTTCCTTTTCTTGGGACATAGGTAGACATACATAATTCTATTAACCTTATATATGTTTTCAAAAGCCCAAGAGACCTTGTTTATGACAATTAAAATGAAAATGGTTGCATGGGATGAGGCACAGTTATTTTTCAGTATCTGCAGGGGGTTGGCTCTGGGACCCTGTGGACAACACAGTCCTAGGTGCGCAAGTCCCTGATACAAATGAGGCAGAATGTGCATCTGTGGGTTCCCAGCATCCCAGCCACAAGTGAAAAATACTGGTTCCCATCCCTAGTTGGTTGAATCCTCAGATGCGAAACCCAGGGATACCGAGGGCCGACTGAATATTGACAAAAATCTGAGAATACATGGACCCATGCAGTGGAAGCCGTGTTGTTCAAGGTCCAACGGTACTTCATAAAGAAAGTCAGAAGATAACCACACCATGCCCCACACATCAGGATGGTGACTGTAACAATGACAACAGAAAATACGTGGCAAGGACGTGGAGAAATGGGGATCCTTGTGTACTGTGGGTGGGAACGTAAAATGGTGCAACTTCTAAGGAAAGCAGTTTGACAGTTCCTAAAAAAACTAAACATGGAGTTAACATGATCCGTCAATCTGAGTACATACTTAAAAGAATGGAAAGCAGGGACTGAGTACGTGTACACCGGTGTTCACAGCAGCTACGACTGGAAGCCGCCCGGGGTTCACAGCAGATGGATGGATAAGCATGACATGGTCTGCGCGTGCTGCGGACCATTATTCAGGCTTAAAAGGAAGGACATTCTGACACAGGCTGTAGCGTGGATGGACTAGAAGAGGTTACACTCAGTGAAATAAGCAGGTCACAAAAGGACAAATACTGTGTGACTTCCTTCTGTGGGGTCCCAGGAGCACGCAGAACTCCTTTATTGTGCTTTGCAGACACTGTTTTCATTGAACTCAAGGGGAGACCCCCCCCATCAGCAAAAGGGTTATGACTCACTGAAGGCTCAGGTGACGTCAGCAATTTTTAGCAATAACGTATTTTTAACCAAGGTGTGCACATTTTAAAACACAGTGCTATTTCACATTTAGTAGACTGCAGTTTAGTGTAAACATAACTTTTACATGCACTGGGAAATCAAAAAAGGTGTGCAGCTCGCCTTGTTGTTATGCTTTGTTATGGGGGTCTGGACGGAACCCCCAGCACCTCCGAGGGATGTGCACCTGCGGTCAGATTCATAGAGACAGAAAGCAGACAGTGGGGGCGGGGCGGGGTGCTTAATGGGGACGAGTCCCAGTTTGGGGAGATGGAGCACTCCAGACATGGCGGTGGGGATGGCTGCACAAGTGCGCGTGCTCCGTGCCACTGTGCACTCGAACATGGTGAAGATGGCACACTTTATGGCACGTGTATTTTACCACAATTAACAAAGATGAACACTATGGAGAAACCATTAGCAACAACTGTTTATATTCTTAATTATGAAGGGCTGCTACACAGTGTAAGAAAAAGACAAGGAATTCAACAGGAAGATGGGCAAAGATGTGAATGGTAATTTAGAGGTGAGGAAACGGAAAGGCCCACATCATATATGAAAATGTGTTCACCCTCAGTGAGGGGCATCCACCTATGAACCATACCGTAGATTTTACCAAAGCTGAAAACCTGAATAACCCTGGTGCTGGTGAGAACCCAGGGGAGCGGGCACTTGACGTGCTTTGCTGGTAAGAATGGGAGCTGGAAACAGCCACTGGGGATGCAGCCTGCTGATGGGAGCTGAATGAGAAACGCACCGGTGGCCAGGTTTGCCTTTGGGGTTCGCGTGCATGAAAGCAAAGGTGGCCCCAGACTGTGACAGCGCCTGCAAGTCCACTGACAGGAGAACGGTGTCCTAAATTAGGCTGGGTCTGTCGTATGGAACATTACGCCGCTACTTGAAAATGGGTTGAATGTCTGTGTCGCACCCAGACGAACGCCTGTATGCGGGGGAGCGGTGGGGCTGACAGCACAGCTCTGGGAAAACCCTGACGCGCGGTGCGTGTCCCTCCTTGTCCAGCCAGGAAGGCGGTGTGAGAGGGCCGCCGGCCTCTTTGGGGCGGCTTGGAGAGGGCACACGGGGGCAGGACGATCTCACGCTGGGATGTCCTGGCACTGCTTGCTTTCTTTAAATCGATCTCGTGCTACTTTGTCATAAAACCAGTCTAACAAAGACATTGCTGAGTCTGCTGAGCTGGTTCTGCAGGTGGGTCTGTTACGGCCTGCTGCCGGGGGCCCTGACCTGTGTGGGCCAGACTCCAGCCAAGGCCCTGGTCCCCGGCAGGGGGCAGCCCGGGAACCCTGAGACCCCTGTTCTAGCTGCAGAGGGAGGCTTTTCGTTGGAAATGTTTGGGCACCTGAGGTGGGTGGACAGGTGGACAGAGGGAAGCTGGAAGGTGGTCTATGGGGTGGGGTTAGAAGTGGGCAGGTAGCTGGGCACAAAACATCTCCGTAAGTCTAGTGAGGGGCAGTCCAGGGGGCCAAGAGGGGAGCACACGCTGGGGCTTGTGGAGGGGTAGCCACTGGTCAGCTGCTCCAGCTCCAGGAGGCGGCACTGAGAGTGGATCGGGCGCCTCCCTGGGCCTCGCCGGGTGTAGGGGACACTGAGGCCACGGCTGGGAGAGTGGGCCTGGGGTCAGGTCTCAGGGCACATCCCCTGCCTGCTTCCCTGTGTTAGGCCTTCAGAAGGGACTGGGACATGGCTGCTGGTCCTCCTCTCCTTCCCACCCCCTCCCTCCTTCCTTTTTCTCCTTTTCTAAAGCTTTCTTGAGGTCTAAATGAAGCAGATGAAATTAATATTTTTATTGGAAGTTCTCAAAACATTTTTTTCCCCCATGTTTGTGTTTAGCGATCACAAGCTGAGTCTGTCAAAGTGCTGGTTGTGACCTGCTGGGGTACCCAGCACGCCTTGGCAAATTTGATACACAGAGCTATCCTGTTTTATTGCACTGGAGGAAATAGAATAATAAG